ATTATGCGTAGTCTAGCTCGCATGGAAAATATTAATTTTACTTATTATTTATATATTTAATACGAAGATCCTTTAAGAAAAATATTTTTAGTGTAACACCTAAACTAAGTTCAAAGTAATAGTTTAAAACAAATATTTATAATAAGAGACAATGTTAGTTCTAGAGAAAATCAGTTTACACTTTAAATACGCTTTAACTTAAATACATTTCATATTAAATTACAAGTAAAATCCACGATTAACTAACTAACATGTTCCTGCTCTAAATGCTAATGCTTATGAATAGAGATCGAAGGCCTGACTACAGACATCTCACAACAGGATTACGTATGTCTCAAACTGGATTTGGTGCTTTGCTATCAGTCATCCATCAGTTCCGATCTAATGATGGTGACGCTTTCGGTCTTGTCGATCCTAAGAGCTTATTTTGTACTATCTCATGATTGGGATTTCAAATGACTGCTAACATCAAACTTTTATAATATTCCTACATATGAGTTAGGTATATTGTTTATTAGCGATATATTGAATCTAGATTGTATTGTAATACATATTTATGTGGTAGTGTATGTATGTAAGTATATATATATATATATATATATATATATATATATATATATACACATATATATATATATATATACTATTCTAATTTCTATGGTTTTTGGTGTGATTCAATTCGGTGTGCGATTTTTTTAATAACGATCGACGAACAATGTGTGGCGCTTAGAGGTTTTAAGCTGACATACGAGTACATCTACATACCCATCTACAAAAGAAGATTCCAAAAAATGTTATTGATAGCTAAAATTGAATTTGAACTAAAATATGCTAAAGCCCCCTATAAAATATATAATTCTAGACCTCTAATGTTTATTCTAGTTATGGGTTTATTATTTAATGCAAATTAATATAAATTTAAAAAAATATCATGACTGATATTTTATACAAACAAATTACTAACAAAAGTATCGCCCTTCAAATTAAGCGTCTCATGTAAACGGCACTTTACGTGTCAAGTTAATAAAGCCCAAGTGCTTAACTAAGCCTTCTGTTTTCTGTCTTTCTATTAAACGACCCGCCTTCTGGTTTACCCGAATTAATTATCATAATCACCTTATCCTCTCGTTTTATGTTATTTAAACTTAATTGATGCGATCTTCATCAATATTTGAAAAATATTCCTGTAAATTTATTTTATTTTTTTTTAATTTAAGTGATTCTTTCTCGATTTGATAAAGAACAGACTATATCTAGTTTATGTATTGCTTGCGTAGAGATTTATTCTTTTTTTCAGGAATAATGTCATTCTCACGCGCATTCTCTATCCGCCTGAAAAAATCTCTTAAAATTCGTAAACCCGTGCGCATTTGGAAATATCTCAAAATAATTGACAATAAATCTGCCCTGGTAATGGAAATGTTTGGCATTTAGAATATTTTAGGTAAAGATGAAAGAGTCGATAGATTACCGTTGCTACTTTGTAAGTTTTAGAATATTCACTGCATTACGCACGATAGCTTTGATTTTACAAACATTTAGTAGGAAGCACGCGGAGCTCGACCGATTGCGGCTGTAGAATACCTTCAGGTATGGGATATTACGAAATGATTGTATCCAGTAATGAGAAATCGTATCGTGCAATATGGTAACAATTTTGAAATTATAAGTGTCCATAACATGCTATTTATTTTTCCTTATTGTATACCAATATCAATCTAAATCGTATTGTAATATAATATATCCAATATTCAATGACTGATAAAATAACAAACTATGAATGAATCGTGTGTCGTGATTTTTGTGTAATAAAATTCTTTTTACTTTATTTCAGGTCCGATAAATAAATTGTTCGGCGAGTTTTTGCATAAACTCAATAAACTTTTTTGCAGTATGTAAAAGCTTTTTTCTATGTATTGTGCTCGAGATATTGTCGAGGTACTTTCAGCGTAAACCAAATTAATACGGTTTTAGCAAATAATGCTTACAAATACTTGAATTTTACAAAATGTTTGCTATTAAGCCAGACATATTATGTACTATTATGTATATTAATAAAATAATTATACTCCCCTCGTATTGAACGGAGGCTCGTATCCAGCAGTGGGACGTTAAAAAGGGCTGATACATAACAATGTTAATATATGTATACTAGTGTTCGCCCAGAGGCCGAAATTCAACTATAATTATTATTGAAAATTAGAGGAAAACATACATATATACCTATGTATATGAATAGAATTTATTTTTCTATGTAAAAAAAAAACATTTTAGATAGACTGACAACATTAAAGCTCATCAATAGCTGAACAAAAAAATGGATATTTTGTGTTGAATGTTTTGTTTTTGCCTATTTATATTAGAGGTTTATAGATAATTTTGTTTAAATAAACTAAATTTTACACCGCCATTCCTTCCTTCCGTTCAGGCCTTACTTTACTTTACAGGCCCCCCGCTTTGCTTACTATTTTTGCAAATTTAATTCACAACCGTAAAAAATCGCCTATCCACCTGATAAACTACCTCTATACAAATATTACAGAGACTTAGTGCTCCTTTACAGCGTTAGTCATATATCAACAACTACAATGGTATAATAATATACAATTTACAGTATGTTAATGAATAAATCATATAAACTATTTAATATATAAAATTTTGCATCTAATCTTAAATATTTTAATCTTAATTGCACATTTTGTCTAGTCCTAATTTACACTTTTGTTTTATGCTGCAATTACAACCAGAGCTCGCCTTATGTCAGCTTAACGTTACGTGCAAGGATACTGTTTGGAACAAAACATACATCATGGTTAAATTCTAAATCCTGTTTTTAGATTAAACAACAAATTGTCTCGGGTGTTCCATGATAATCCTCCATTCTGGTCAGTACAATATGCTTGTCGTAAGCTATGGTTAGATTTAACTGGAGATTGGAACGTTCTAACGGTTTAGCGTTTTATATTTGTAAAACTTTTGTTTGCAACTGGAAACTGTGTTTGGTGTATCGTTACACCACTTGCCTAACCCTAAAAATGGAATTCATTTGCTAAAATCAAATCCTAATACTTTCTGTTATCTGTATGTAATTTAATTCGAGGAAACACACTTTTTACAACTCAATATCCTAAGCTGACTTAATTTTTATACGGCAAAACGATCAAAGCAAAATTACAACCAAAAAGGGGTTGGATTTTCTAACTGAAATTTCGGATCACGGGAGGAATTTTAAAATGTCCATTATAAATATGTAACATGCTGTTATTAAGTCGTAAATATTTCGTCTCTTCAGACCCCCGGTTATAATATAATTATCCCTTCAATCATTTGAAATTAATTTGGATTGCTGTACATTTTAATTTTTTTTTCCCAAACAGAGGCAGCGATTGACCTTTTAAATATATTCTATCGTGATTGTTTTCGTTTTTTATTTACCATTTCCTTTAGCTTTTCTATTATATAATTAGATTTTCTTAGTAAATCGTTACACGCATAGTTAGAAGCTTCATCGTAATCCTGTTAATTCCTTTGAAAATATTAAAACACAAGGTTTACCGCACCGGATACTCTGTGTGGATAATCCTGATGAAGCGGATATTAGAATTCCGTGAACCTCTGGCGGAGACATCGCGGCTTCGAGTTCTGACATAAACATTTAACGCAAAGCGCGGAATCTGCAGCGCGCCGCTCATAGCGATATTTCCAACGTTCTATGTTAGAAACAGCGCATACTTTAGTAGTTTATCGGGACCCTCGTGTATATGGAAGCTCAAAATGCAAATTATTTTTTAAATTCCTAACTAAATTTGTGGTATGCTTTTGCTTATAACCTTATGCTGTAATCAGTAAATTAGAAAAACTTATAAATCGAGTATTTACCTTTGTATTAAGAAACTAAAATCAAAATATTTTTAGCTATCTCCATGCTCTTAAATACAGCGTTTATACTTGGAATTCGTGTACTAAAGACTCTTAACAGATGTTAATGTTGACATTGAGAAAGTCCCCACATTTACAGACGCAGACTATCTACGTCACTTTCTTAGTCTCGTCTTCTACTTAATATCTGGGGATGCCAGCTTGATATTAAATTCTCAGATACATGTAGGGATCTCAGAAATAGGTACGAGTACGTATATAGGTACTCAGAGTGCAACTGTTGACTTCAGATTTTTATGGTTTATGTCAAAGATATGTTGACATAAAATTAATGAAACTAGAATCTTTTAAAATTTACTTTATAAAAAGAAATGTATTTTTAACATCTAAAGAATATAGAAAGCTTTTCGGAATAGAATGTAAGAAGCACTCTTGATGAAAATCTCGTATAGTTTGAAAGGTTTATTGGTCTCAATAATGTTCGATTCATTCATAAGAAGTCTCCAATTATATCAATATTGCTTCGTGTATTGATCGGAATAACAGAAATGTTTCTATAAAGAAACAACCACAAAGGGATCTCTCAGAAGGCTACTGTGTAAATCGTCGTGGACGTCGAAAAAAATTCCAAATAAAATTTCATAAATATTTTTGATATATTCACGGTCAGGCTTTTCATACTTTGCCCGCGTGGCTTATCTGGATTATCTCGGGATTTCCACCGGATTTTTTTAACTTGTTCGCATTTGTGCGTCCGTTTATTGCGTTTTATCTGGCGCGTGATTTGCCGCATCGCCCGTCTGAAAATATGTATACCGTGGCCTAAATTCCTTTTAAATTTATGGAGCTCGAACGTTAAAAATACAGCATAAAAGCCCCGTAGGAGAAGCTCTTTATTAAAATTTAATATCAAATACGGCCTCTGAGCTCGAGTATGATAGAATTAAAACAATTTTAATATGTACGTTCCTAAGCCACGTTTCCACATTGTTTCAGGTGATCGAGGGATGAGAAAAGTTGGAACTATCGTGACTTACATGACGCGTTAAGTACAACCGAGTGTGGCAGTGTTTTGGGTGGTGTGCGTGCTAATGTAATCAAGTGTCTCCAAGTTATCTGTCATGGTGTTGTCATGGCGCGCGGTAGCCCTGCTAGCTGCGCTGCACGTGTGTGCGAGTGTACCGGACACGCTCTACCACAATCATTTCGCTGTTCACGTACCTTCCGGTGAGAAGCATGTGGATGACATTGCCAAGCGACACGGCTTCGTCAATCATGGACAGGTATGTCAATTTACTTACTACACGTTCGGTCATGTCAGATACATATTTTGTGATATAGAAACAATGTTTTATAAGCAATCGTGTTATTTGATAAAGATATTTATTTTCTTCAAGCTGACGACGTATAACATTTTTATTTTTTTATTTTATTGATTTGTATGAAAAAGGTTCGTGTTCTAAGATTTTTTTTTAAATTGTATGAAAAAGACAAGGTGAATGTAAAAACATAAAACAAGTAGAAAATATCTACAGGAAAATTAGTGCAAAGCTCAAGTTGATTTCTTGGCTCGACCGTCTGTCTGTCGACGGCCGTCCAATTAAGTTCTCTCGGTGATTAATGACTGCAATACCTAACTCTGTGCTACAACTAGAATTACCTCGGCTAGAAGATTGCTTGTTTGGAACATTGGAATATTTTAAGAAAAACAATACATACAATTAAATTTGTTGTCCTACGAGATATCCGTTCAAACTGCGTGGCATTTTTTATGTATGGCAATATAAATATTCTTTTGTTTTATATTAATTCTATCTATATATTTATTTAATTTATTAAGTATTTATTTTAAAACGATATACATACCTTCTTGTTACGTATCTGGCTTACACATGACAGTCATTTTCACATGCCACCATTTTCACATGACATCATTTTTTCTACAAAAATAGCTTATTTATGATATAGTAAAAATTATTTTTAAATTATTTTAAACAAATATTTATTGAATAAATACATTCGCTTCTACGATTTTATTATTTTATGCCGTATGTTAAAATTGCTGTTTTATATAAGCAATTTTTCTACAGATGGTCTATATATTTTTGGTTTAGTGTTTTTATTAGAGTCGCTTTTTTGTAAATCAAGTTGCTATATGACTGAACAGAATCGTTGAACTGATTCCTAACATCAAATGAATCATATTTATTTTGTATATATTTATTTACCGACTTTAAAAAGGAGGCGGTACTAGATTTGATTGTATGTTTTATTACATAAATAGGTTACTAGTTTTGGTGTTCTTAAACGAAAACTTAAAAAAATGTGCAGGGATTTAAATTTTAAGCTTTTATTTTCATTATATTTTTTATTTAGGTTCTTTATGTAACCAATAAAATATTATTTCTATGGATTATTTGATTTTTAAAATATAATGAAACTGTATTATTTATTAAAATAATAATATACATACATAACTTTGTTATAGAATTTCGTTATAAAATATTTTTCATAAGACCATGAAGTAATCATGGTCGAGTTTGACAAGAATTCAGTGATGTCAAAGAAAGAAAAGGCTTCCTGTTTGCACAAACTCCAGCTCCAGTGGATCACATTTCTAATGTTTCCTGTAGTATTGTGTGTTCTCTTTGTAAAGAATGTCACACAACGCCCATTTATAGGTTTAGAACTTTCTTTAAAGTGTATTTTTTTCTTAAAAATGTGTTTAAATCTAAACGTACAATATGAAATTATATTATTTACAGCATTAACAATTCGGTTACTCAGTAAGTTTTAGATTAATTTGGTTTTAAAAAGTTTTTGAGAATTTTTATTATCTTGAACTTAAAATAGAAACGACGGTTCCAAGTAACTTTTTAGTTTTAGTTAATCTACTTATATACTAATATTATATAGAGGCAGAGTTTGTTTGTTTGTTTGTTTGTTTGTTTTTCCTCCTCACAAATTCTTTTTATCGCTAGCTTTTGCTTATGGGTTTGTCCACGGAAATGAACTACGCGAAAATATGCTCATTGTTAGCAAAAAACTTTTATAGTTTTGCAGTAGGTATCATCAATACATAACCTTTATTAAATTGAATTGATTAAAAAAATACTGTTATATGTATATGTATATATAACAATTTCTAAGACGGAAAGTCTCAAAATCCATAAACAATGAGCTTCTGTATAAAGCTTCACGGAAATTATGCAAGCATTTCCAACTTATTACGTGTAAGCTCGCATACTGATACCTGTCGTTTACACGAGTATCCAGTTATCCAAACACTTGGCATACCATCTGCCGTACTTGATATCCTTCGAGGAATTGATATTCGATATTATTTTGCTCTATTTATCTCTATAGTATTTTTGAGAGCGTTACGTTTTTATGTTAAGTATAAATTTCTCAGAGATGAGATATTTTCCCGCAGTAAAAATTATCCTATATTTTGAAGCGGATACCCAGCTATCATTATTTTTCACCAATTTCATCAAAATCTGTCGAGGGGTTTTCTCGTGATGCGTTCTCAGATAGTTGTGTGATGCGATAAAAGATAGACAGACAAAAAATCTAAAAACCATAGATTCGGCCTCTGTATCGATAATAATGACTATTTCAATAAGATTTTCCAAAAAATATTTAATGTACAGATTCGACTTAGAATTTTATTATATATATAAATAAATGACATATTTTAAGAAGTGGCATAGGTCGAAACCAATCATGCAAATATTATAAGCGAGTAAGACTTTCGAAATGGACATAGAGATTTAGTATTCTGTGTTTAATCTTCGCTACTTTAAATCGGCTTACCTTAGATGCGCTCGGACTCGGAACCAAAGGAAAATTAGTTTATTTTATTTCAAATTGAATCCGTGGGCCATCCGTTTGATTCCTGGCAAAATAGCTTTAATTATAATTTATCCACATTAAGACCGTGTGTGGCATTTCATACACAACGGTTTCTTCGTTACTTCGCTCAATAATTTAATATTTACGTGAATTAGACCTAGACTAACATTTTCTCTTTAAGACTTTCACTTTATATGTTTTTATCAACTTTACAGTTCCCATGGGATAATAGTTGATATATTTCGTTGGAAGCAAATTTAATCTGTATTTACGCAGTATGTATTTATTATCTGTGTTAAAAGTTACTAAAGACAGGATGCAAATATAAAATAGTCTGAACAAGGCGAAACCCAGTCACTAGTAATAAATGAAAATGATATTAAACATTAAGTAAATTATCAGTTGATTAACAGGGCCAATTATATCGATGTTTTAATCGTGTGAATAAATGAACGAGATAGTGTTGCGCGATAAAGTTCGTTATCTGTAGAATAATTAAAACTTGCTGATAATTTTCGATACGAGTACGATTAAAACGCCGAGGGGTGATTAAGTTTGTCACGGGAAATTACCGGTTCGCACGCCATATCCGCTCATTTACACATGGAAAAACTACATATGAACTGTTTATTGTTTTAATTACCTTATGAATATATCGAATGAGTTATTATGAACGGTAATAAAATTTAGATACTTCATTGTAAGCTGATGATCTGTAATTGCTTTTGCTATGGGATTTTTAATTTGTTTTGAATTCTATGTATTGCTAGCTCGGTGGAGGTCCTGGGTTCGAGTTCCGGTGTTCTTGAATACATACAATTAAAACAAAATAGTCGCTTATATTAATAGCAAATTACCATACGCGATATAATGCTATTGTAGGTACTAGATGGACGTTTACTAATAGCACTAATATAATTGATTATCACGGTATATCGATTAATTTGAATTTACATTGTACTTGCACAACAACAAGAATACGGTGGATACAGCTACAAACTAATTAACTTAAATGGATCAGCTGTGCATTAAGTGTGAATTGCGCCTTGGTCCGGTTAATGGTGACATGTATATGGTTTATGTCAGGTAAAGGATTCCACAGTTAATGTATCTGTAATGATACTACGATTCTTACTTTGGTACTATTTGTTCGTGAAAATGTCGTATTTCGTTTAATTAGTTTAAAAAAAAATATAAATTGCAATTTCTCAGGTATGAGTTATGTCTTCTAGAATGATATATATATATATATATATATATATATATATATTATTTATTCAAAGCGATATGGGATAATCGTGAGAGCAAACAGATGACTCGAGCGCATTGAAACATTTCATAACAACCACATACAAGAATACATATTATCATGAACGTGCATATTATGTATATTATGTTATAATGAAATATCTATCTAAATTCTTTTACATATATATATATATATATATTGTAGAATATCTTGTTGATACAAGCTATATTATTTGAATAACTCTTTAATTAAAATGAATTGAAGTAAGAAAATGATTCATGAGCTTACGTATTATAGTACTAGCTCTAGGTGTCTAATCGTAGCCTTTGTGTTATTCCAGGTCATGGTCTATCGGTGTACTGTACGCGCGCGCGCACGCAAGCACACAAACTAGCATCTGAATAGTGTGATACCTACTATTTAAATAGTTACAATACAATATATATATATATATATATATATATATATATATATATATATATATATATATATATATATATATATATATGTAAAAGAATTTAGATAGATATTTCATTATAACATAATATACATAATATGCACGTTCATGATAATATGTATTCTTGTATGTGGTTGTTATCAAATGTTTCAATGCGCTCGAGTCATCTGTTTGCTCTCACGATTATCCCATATCGCTTTGAATAAATAATAAAACGCTTCCATTGGTAACCTATACGAATAATAGAGAGAATTAAACCGTTAGCGGTATTCGTGAATAATAAATTTGTTACCGAAATTTTCTTTTTTTTTTCTGAAACGTTTATTTCCGATGAATGCGATCATATTTCATAATATTTAGGGACGTTATAAATAATGTTTTCAACGAAAAATATATTTTACGTTTTAGCAGATTTACGTACGTACGTACGAGTATATACTGGTTGAGTTATGTTTTTAACAGCTTGCAAAATAATTTCATTAAAATGGCTTCTTTAATTTCATTTATTATCAATTTTTAATAAACATTGGATATGAAATTAAAACACTTTTAACATATTTTTCATTGTTAGTTTAGTAAATTTAGGATTCAATCTTCGCTAAATCCACAGAATCCTCAAAATCAATTTCTCATAATGTCCATTTCACACCAACGAATTTCGGTTTCATTTGAACAAACTTTAAGTCAAACCGAACTATATCTGAAGATAGTTTGGGCCGCAA